TATTTCTCTTTGAGGCCCCATTGAGGGCAATGGAAAGAAGCCCAAATAATTTTGGATAAGGCACACTAAGTTAAAAAAAGCCAGCCAGTGGCAAAATAGCCACAAAGGAACTACCAGCCACAGTATCCTTTCCTGGTATTCTTCAGAATTATCAGGAGGTGTTATAGGGTGTGTCTAGACTACAGGATTTTTTTGAAAAAAACTCCCCCTGTGTCTAGACTGCCACCAAGTTCTTTCTAAATTAAATCGAAAGAACGCAACGGTTTTTTTCGACCATGGTAAACCTCATTTTATGAGGAATAACGCCTTTTTTCGAAAGTGTTCTTTCGAAAAAAGGCATCCTTGAATGTAAACAGGCTTGCATTGATACTGCCTGGGTGCTCTCTTTCGAAAAAGCGGCTTGCTTTTTTTGAAAGTACTGGTTGTAGTCTGGACGCTATTTTTCAAAAGAGGCTTTTTCGAAAGTATCTTTCGAAAAAGCCTCTTTGGAGAGAGGCTTCCACTCTAGATGTAGCCTGATTGTATTATATCATAATACCTTCTAAAAAGCCAGGAAAACGACACTATGGGCAAAAATAAAAGATAGTGACTATGGTACATTTTCCTCCAGGTTTACAAACTAACATGTCTTTTTTATATGACTTATCATAATATTTATATTGACAGATAGTAGAAAGACAGATGGAAATGAATCCACTGCCTTTTCTTCTAAGAGGCATGTTATTCTGTCTCCTCACTACTTAAACTAGTGAAGAGTATTTGCACAGAATGCTACAAAGATATATGGTAATGAATAAGGAACACAGGGACATAAAATTACCATATCTTGTTTATTATCCTGCCTCCAACAGTAAACAGATGCTTATGAGGAAAGTTCAAGAAACCCTGAAGTGGGCAATTATGGAATAATTTGTCCATAGGGGACATTTCTTCCTAGCTTGCATAAATTAGGGGTTGATTATATCTGAAATATAGGGATATGCGTACTTTTGTTTTGCTTTTTAATCTTCCCCACCCAAAACAGTGTTTCTCTGGGACCAATCCCACATAGCTGTTAAACTTTTTTTTTCCCATTTTAAACATATGACTAATCTCCCTGATGTCACTCCTCACATGCTTAAAGTCCTTTGCTAGATTGGGTTAGGGAGCACAGAAGCCTGCAAGAGCAAGCCCTGAATGTAACACTTGAGGAGCAACTGGGGTTCTGGGACATCTGAAAAACCATGAGGGGAACTCAGCTGAGCGAGCCACTGACCTTTGCCACTGTTACGGTTGAAAAAAGAACCTTTAGAAAGTGATAATCTCCAGGCAATATATGGTGTGTGCTCTAATCCCCAAAGAAAGCAGTGTGATCCTGTGGTGCTGGATCTGCACAAAATAACGAATAGTTGACTGATGTGTCATAGTGTTCTATATGCCATTTCAATGCAAATAAAATTTACGTAATGTTTGTAAAGTGCTTTTACAACAAAAAATAAATGCTAAGTATATTAACATAACTATTATCAGAATAATTGGACAAAAATAAATAGTATGAGGTATTTTGTATACCGATTGAAATGACCCTCAGAACCTTTTGAGGTTGAGACATCATTAACACACATGGTGAGCTCATTTAAATGAAAAGAATACTTTAGCATGCTGCGAGGTGTTGGATACTATAGTCTAACTCATCAGTGGTAAATTCCAAAAGCCTCTAAGGGTATGTCTACACAGCAGGGCTAAAGTCGAATTAAGCTAACGCAACTTCAAAATAGCTTAATTCAGCTTTTGACACTGTCTACACAGCAAGAAGTCGAAGGAAGAACATTCTTCCTTCCACTTCTCTTATTCCTTGTGTAATGAGGGTTACCATGAGTTGGAGTAAGAAGTCCTCCCGCTTGACATTATTTCGAAATAAAGGCTGGTAGTGTAGACGTGCACTATGTTGTTTCAGAATAACGTCCTTTATTCCGAAATAACGCTGCTGTGCAGCCATACCCTAAATGACTTACAAATCTAGGTATCATTTTCAAGTGACATAAGAACCTAAAGTTATCTTTGAAAATGATACTTAGGCTCCTGAGTCATTTCAGCACTTTTGAAAATATTACCTTAATGTTTTGATCTTCATGTATTATGTCATGTTATAGATACTTATTTTTCACTCAGTAGGTCCTACACACTCAAGATCCTCCACAGAGGGACAAAGTGAAGCCAGCTCTTTCTGCTGAGTAGAATTAGC